CCTGGACAATGTGGTGAAACCCTGTCTCTACTAAAAACATAAAAATTAGTCCCGTGTGGTGGCATGTGCCTGTAGTCCCAGCTACTCCGGAGGCTGAGGCAGGAGAATCACTTGAACCTGGGAGGTGGAGGTTGTAGTGAGCTGAGATCGCACCATTGTGCTCCAGCCTGGGTGATAGAGTGAGACTCCATCTCAAAAAAAAAAAAAAAAAAAAAAAAAAAAGACATGAGGTTTGATTAGGGGCTACATACATGGGAGAGAATGCAGTGGTGGTGGGCTGGGCAAGAAAACCTCAACTGCTTGCAAATAGCATGTAGTTTTGGCCGGGTGCACTGGCTCATACCTGTAATCCCAGCACTTTGGAAGGCCGAGGTAGGTGGATTATCTGAGGTCAGGAGTTTGAGACCAGCCTCACCAACATGGTGAAACCCTGTCTCCATTAAAAATACAAAAATTAGCCGGGTATGGGGGCACATGCCTGTAATCCTAGCTACTTGAGAGGCTGAGGCACAAGATTTGCTTGAACCTGGGAGGTGGAGGTTGCAGTGAGCTGAAATCACACCATTGCAATCCCGCCTGGGTAACACAGTGAGACTCTATCTCAAAACAAAAACAAAAACAAAAAAACAAAACAGCATGCAGTTTATATAGCATTTTCACTTAGTATTCTCCCGTTAATGACCTCCACCTGGCAACTTTCATTTAATCCAAAACTTAGGGTTTCAATTCCCTGTACAACACATGTTTCACAGGACAGGCCAGGAACTCAGACATTCTTGACAGACAAGGAAAAAAATCTCCAGGTTGGCTACTCCTAATTCACTAGCTCAGAACGCACATTCAGGTGCATCTGACATACAGAGTCATTCTAAGAGTGTGCTTTAGTTATTGCTCTCGGGTGCATTTACCCTACAGTGGCTTATGACGTGGTTAAGAGTAGACGTTTGAAGTCAAATCCCATCCTGGCTGCTTGCTAGCTGTGAAACTGAGACCTGTTCCTTCTTCAACATTCATTTATTCATTCATTTCAAAAACTAGTACAGAGATATTCCTTTGGTGCTGTGGATACAGTGATGTATCCTGCCTTCAAAGAGTACAAATCTACTGGCAAAGACAGCCCTGACAAAGTGTGACCCAAGCGAGGATATGGGAAGACCCATTTTTATGAGATCATTTGCAGAAGCCCCTACTGTGGTCTGGACAGGGTAGAAGTCAGGGAAGCCTTTGCAGGGAAGCTAAGCCTAAACAGAAAGTGAAGGCTGAATACGAGATGGAGGAAGGGAACCTTTGCTGGGCAGACAGACCCCCATATATGGAGGCCAGAGAGCTAGAGACGGTGGAGTGCCTTAAACTCTAAATAAATTCAGAAAAGTTAATCCGGAAGTTTCTACTCTGTGTGTGTGTGTGTGTGTGTGTGTGTGTGGTTTCTTTTTATTTCTTTTCTTTTTCTTTCTTTCTTTTTTTTTTTTTTTTTGAGACGGAGTCTCACACTGTTGTCCTGGCTGGTGTGCAATAGCACGATCTCGGCTCGCTGCAACCTCCGCCTCCCGAGTTCAAGCTATTCTCCTACCTTAGCCTCCGGAGTAGCTGGGACCCACCACCACACCTGACTAATTTTTTGTATTTTTAGTGGAAACGGGGTTTCACTGTGTTGGCCAGGCTCTTCTCAAACTCCTGACTTCGTGATCCGTCCGCCTCAGCCTCTTAAAGTGCTGGGATTACAGGCATGAGCCACGGTGCCCGGCTGTTTTTTTTTCTTTTCTTTTCTTTTTTCTTTTAGTGGAGTGTGTGGTAGAGAGGGAAACGGTGAGAGCTGGGACTGGAGAGTGACTGGAGAGCTAATTAGGGCCAGGTTATGAAAGGGATTCAGGACCTATTAAGGAGAATAGACTTGTATCCTCAAAGTAATGGGAGCCTCTTAGACGATTTTAAAGAGGGAATTACATGATCGAGTTTTTATTTTGGAAAAATCGACTGAATTTTGGAGAATGGTTTGTGTGGGAGGAGAACAAGTTGGAGGATAGAGCAGTAACCTAAAGCGATGGCCAGAATGAAGGCTGCTTGAGGGCTGAGATCTTCATCAGTTTTGTTTCTTTGAGCATCCCAGGTTCTTGGAACAGAGATTGGTACATACCAGACAATCAGTAATTGCTTGTTGAGTGATCGTGGCCTAGACCAGGGCAGTGGCTGTAGGGATAAAGGGATTCATGTGAATTCGAGACCTAATTTGTGGGCCAAAGGAAAATAATTACTGATTTAAGAAGTTAAGAAGGATTCTCAGTGTTCTGGCTTGAGCAACTGAAGGGAAAATGGTGACATTTTCTGAGGTGAAAAATCCTTAAACTCTTTGAGCCTCAGTTTCTTCATCCATAAAATGGGACCGATATCCCACATCTCACAAGTATGTAAAGGGAGTAGCCTAGTGCCTGATACATAAGGGGTAATCAGTGTGTCAACGTGTCCTCCACGCTCAGATCTCCTCTATAGCATGCAAAGTCGCCTCTACAGGTTATGAAGAAAGCCCACATGGACATCTTCCCAGGGTCTCCAGGTTTGAAGCTCCCAGGGATGGTATCAGGAGCAGCAGCAAAAGCCCCACAAGTGGAAATGTCTAGCCAGGAAATGAAACAAGCGACTGAGATTGCTAACTGGAGTTTATTTTCTAAAAATGAACAGCAATTCTCAGTATGGCGCGGTCACCTGCAAACCTGGTCCTTAATAAGCTATTCTGGTCTTCATCAACATGAAGAATTTGATTGGACAGAGGAGTAGATTGGTGGTGAGGCTTTCTGTAGCTAAGGGGTAGTTGGGGTGGTGGGAGGTGGGCAATAATTTAGCAGAAAGGAAGCGAGTTTGTTTTTAAACTCACAATCCTCCCTGGGGTACAACTACTTAGGGTCATTTCTCCAGTCTCATTTTCTGGGAAAGTGGAATTGTACCTGGTTATGGGCAGCTAGGGCATTGTTGAGGTTGCAGTTTCCTGTGGACGAGTTGCAACCACTGGTGTTAACAAGGCCCAGGAGGTCACTTGGAGCCCCCACCACCTCTTTCTCTTCTATCTACTCAATGGATGGAGACCAAGCAACAATTCTCTGCCATGCACCACAGTATGCTAGTACTGAGGTTACCGACATGCACGAGTCACAGCCCCTGCCTTTTGCAAGGGAAACAGACCAGCAAACAGGCAATTACAATCCCATAGAATGGGCATCCGTATTTATTTCCTAGGGTTGCCATAACAAATCACCACAATCTTGCATGGTGGTGCAAGTTTAACACAACAGAAACATCTTATCTCACATTTCTGGAGGCTAGCAGTTCAAAATAAAGGTACCAGCAAGGCTAGGCTCTCTCTGGTGGCTCTAGAGATTGGTCACTTTTTGCCTCTTCATAGTTTCTGGTATTACTGGTTATCCCTGGTGTTTCTTGGCTGGTAGAAACATCACTCCAATGCTTGCCTCTGTCACCACATGGAATTCTCCCTATGTGTCTCTGTGTTTCTTCTCTTCTTGTAAGGATGGCAATCATATTGGATTTAGGGCCCACACTATTCCAGTATAACCTCGTCTTAGCTCAGTTATATTTGCAAATACCCCATTTCCAATTAAGGTCACATTTGCAGATACCAGAGGCTAGGACTCGAACATATTTTTTAGGAGTCGGGGGACACGATTCAGCCCACAACAATGTGAGTACAAGAGTGCCTGATGTCCTGTCGAATCAGATTTTACCTTGTTACAAGTGTTAAGGGAGCAATCCCTGTGATGTAATCTACAGTTCTCTCTCTGCCTTTTTCTTTTTCTTTTTTCTTTTTTTTTTTTTTGAGATGGAGTTTTGCTCTTGTTGACTATGCTGGAGTGCAATGGTGCAATCTCAGCTCACTGCAACCTCTGCCTCCTGGGTTCAAGTGATTATCCTGTCTCAGCCTTCTCAGTAGCTGGGATTACAGGCATGCACCACTCGGCTAATTTTTTGTGTTTTTAGTAGAGATGGGGTTTTACCATGTTGGCCAGGCTGGTCTCAAACTCCTGACCTCAGGTGATCCACCTGCCTCAGCCTCCCAAAGTGGTGGGATTATAGGTGTAAGCCACCACACCTGGCCTACTTCTTGACTTCTTTCTTCCCCTTCTGTAGTTTTGTTAACTCATACTAATTGGTCATCTCCTGCATATTAGGCAGAGTTCTAGAAATCAGTGATGGAGTGCAGAGACCAGACAGACATGGTTCCTGCCTCTGAGACTTATGAGTTATGGGGGAAAGAGACAGCAGCCAAAGAACCACACAAATACGTGTCAAATGACAACTGGAACAATTGGAAGGGGAGCCCTTCTGAATATGCGGAGTAACAGCTTGAACTGACCTCCCAGGGGAACAATTCTAAGGCCGTAAAGACCAGTCTCCAGCTATAGAGTGTATTTCTGCTCTGTAAGCATCAACATCTTCTAGTCTGCAAGATACAGGGAAAGGAGAGAGAGAAGGTCATTGATTTACTTGAGTCCATGTGTTTGAAACCCTCTGCTTGAGAAGCAGGCGAATAGGGAATGAGGGTAACCAAGGGTTAAGGTGTAAGCAAAAGAAGAGCAGGTGCAGCCAGTTCTAGGCAAGATTGGGCAGCATACAGGCCACATCCTCACTCCTAAAACAACAAGATGGAAATTTCCACTTCAGCCTCTGATTGACCACAGGCCAGGTCTCCACTTCAGCCTCTGATTGGTCATGTGCTATCTCCACTTCAGCCTTTGATTGGTCCTGGGGCAATCCTTCATAAGGTGTAACCAACTGGAGCCCTCTAAAGGGCACAAAGTGGGTGTTACCAAATTCTTTTAGCTTAATAAGAACCCTTAAAAGCATTATAATTGGAGCTTTTGAGCTGCTTGTTCAAGCCTGCTCCCACTCTGTGTACTTTTGCTTCAATAAATCTGTGCTTTCATTGTTTTGGGGTTTTTTTGTTGCTTTGTTTGTCTGTTTTGTTTGATTCTTTGTTCAATGCACCAAGAACCTGGACAACTCACAGTCAAGCATTTCCATCCTGTAACAGTTGGAGAATGAGCCTGCGTGACAGGCCTTCCATTTAGCAGGTGAATCTCAGCTGCTACGTAAATCGTCAAAGCTGGAACTTGGAATGTGAATATAGCCATGAGAGTGCCTCAGCAAGGAGCCATTATGAGGTACCGATAAACTGACCACCCTATAAAAACCAAGGGGGCCAGGAAATTATAAATGGTTCAGCAGCATCCAGGGAAGTGGGAAACACAAACCTGAGATTTTCTATGGGGACTCTTGAGTAGCCTTGGGGAAGTCACAACCAGTGGTGAGGGGCTACAAAGGCAGGGGGTACATGGTGTTTGAGGATAAATGATAGGCTGGACCTGGGCAGGGTGGGGAAGGGGACTTCCTGGGAAGCTATGCTCATACTCTGTTTCCCAGGCCCACGAAGACCAAGCTGTCAAAATATAAAAAATAAAAAAATAAGGCTTCCTTTCCACACCCATATAATACTATGAATGGATCTCAGAGTTTGGTGTCAAAACTCACCAAAACATACACTTAAATGGGTGCATTTTGTTATATGTAAATGATATCTCAATAAAGTGAATTTTCAAGATGTTGGTGATAGCCCTCTTTGTTTTTGTTTTGTTTGCTTGCTTTTGTTATTTCAAAAGAAGGTCTTGCTCTGTTGCCCAGGCTGAAGTGCAGCAGTGTTATCTTGGCTCACTGCAGCCTTGACCTCCTGGGCTCAAGTGATCCTCTCACCTTAGCCTCTCAAGTAGTTGGGGCTATGGATGCATGCCACCATGCTCAGCTAATTGCTTTATAATTTTTTGTAGAGACAGGGTCTTGCTATGTTGCCCAGGTTGGTCTCAAACTCCTGGACTCAAGCAATCCTCCCAGCTTGGTTTCCCAAAGTGCTGGGATTACAGGCATGAGCCACCATGCACAGCCCCTCTTTGTTTTAATTCTGCATGTCAAAGCCATGGTAGAAGCCTTTCTAATCTTGCTCAAGAGTCATTGGATCCTGTATTATATAAATCAGGGCCTGGGGAGAATCCCAAGACAACTGAGATCAAGCACATCATTTTATGCAGGAGGTGACTTAGTCTCAGGAGAGACAGCAAGGTCATAGTCACAGCAGTCAGAAGGATGCACCATAGATTTGAAAAATCCAGAAGGTGGGACATGGGTGGAATGGCATGCTCTTAGACAATCTAGCCTATGTGCTGAAGTCAGAAGTTAGATCTGAGGTCATTCGATTAATCAGATTTTGGTCCTGAAATTCCCGGCCGTCCACTTCCTTCTGTCCTTAACATGTTCTGTGAACACTCAGTCACTGCTACAGTCATACACAGATTGCATTTATTTTCATATCTCTTTGCAAAGGTTCTTCTGCATTGGGTGTCTTAATGTGTTCCATGATCTGGGTCTATTTAGGATCAAACTCAGACTCAGAAACCGGGGTGGGGCCAACATAATGAAATGGAGGAAATTATAAGCCAGGCATCATAGTCTGGAGCATAGATCTTCAAACATCGGTATGTATCAAAATTAAAGTGCCAATCCCTGGGATTCACGTCCAGATATTTTGATTTACTAGGTCTTGGTGTCCGGGAATCTGCATTGATAACCCACACCGCAGGTGATTCTGATGGAGGTGGTTCCAGAACTAGAGTTTGAGAGTCGCTGTCCTCTAGCAACCTCTGGATTAAACACGGGAGAAAACAAATAGACCTGGGTTGTTGACTGACCAATGAACTTTGAAGGTAACCCACATTCAAAATATTCTATATTTTTCAAAGGATGGTGATGGAAAAGAAACAATGACCACAAAAGCCTGTCTTGAACACAGACTTATTTGTGGCAGTTTTCAGGAGTGTATTCTTTTCTAGTGATGGAGGGTTTTTAAAAAATTCTGCTAAGCCTTCTTTTGAGTCACTCTCTTGAGATATAATTCACATACCATATAATTCAACCATTTAAAGTGTACAATTCAGTGGTTCCAGTATATTCAGAGTTGTGTAACCATCATCATCAACCTTAGAACATTTTCTCCTCCCTCCCCAAGTCCTACTCCCATTAGCAGTTACTCCACATTTCCTCCCACCCCCTCCACCCCTAGGCAACCACTAATCTACTTTCTGTGTCTGTAGATTTGCCTATTCTGGACATTTCATATAAATGAAAGAAAATGACACAGCTTCTTTCGTGAGTGGATTCTTTTGCCTACCATGTTTTCAAGCTTCATTCATGCTGTAGCATGTATCATATCACTATTTCATTTTGTAAATTGCCAAGTAGTATTCCTGATGATGGATTTTAAGATGGAACTTCTCTTTTTTCACAAGTTGAACACCTATCTTTCCTCTAGAATAACATTTTCACAAGTTGAACATCTATTTTCCTTCTAGAACAAGAGGCTTTGTAGCAGATAGGAATGTCAGATGCACTGTAAAGACTTAAGAATGTTATTCAAGGCCCAAGTGACCTTTCCAGCCTCGTCTCCATCAATTTTGCACTTCCTTCCATGATGTTGTAGCCACACAAGACATCTCTGGGCTCTCCCCTACTACTCTCTGCTCAAAATAACATGGATTCTTGTCTGTGCAGTGAATGCCTCCTCTAATTCTGAGCTCAAGCATCTCCTTGCCTGAACTTTTCTCTCATTTTTGCCCCTCATCCTGATTGTAGATCTTTTCATTGTGTGCAATGATGGGTGAAGTCACCACCCTCTAGGCTGGTGACTTCTCCAAGAGAGGAACTGAATTTTCTTAATTTTTGTATTCTCAGTGCCTAACTAGTTCTTGGCAAGTATGGGGTATTTGGTTGAGATTTGTTGAATGACTGAATGAGTGAATGAATGGACAAGTAAATGAAAGCTGCAGAAGCCAGCATATATAGAATGAAAGTCACTTTTCCCTGCAGCTTTTAACGTAGCCGTTTAACGTATCCAAGGATGCTGAGCAAGAGACTATATAACGTAACTCCTTCTGTTTGAAATGACTTGTTTGCAAAAGAGTAAAAATGACAATTTAAAGAATATTAAACTGCGTAAGCAGGAAAAACAATCTGCTAACAGTGGTTATCTCTGGGGGAGAGTTTAGAAGAGCTGGGAGTGTTTTTACTTTTCCTTTCATTAGAGACTTCAAAAGAAGAAAGGTGGTGTAAAAATTGGTGATTTTTTTCTTTTATGGTTTTTGGGGATTTTTTAAACATAAAAATTATAAAAAGGAAATAAACAATAAGAAGCAGAGAAAACGGGATGTCTACACATTGTCGGTGGGAATGTAAAGTAGTACAGCCACTATGGAAAACAGTATGGATGTTCCTCTGAAAATTAAAAACAGAACTACTATATGATTCATACGAAATTTATATCTCAGTTTAAGCCGTTGCTAGTTTGGGTCTCTGTTACTTACAGATGAACCTAATTCTAAGAAACACAGATGCTTTAGACTCGGATCTGAGTACCAGGCTGGCTCTGGGTGACTTGTGGCAAATCACTTATGCCTTCTGTCCTCAGTTTCCTCATCTGTTAGAGGAGAATGAAAACACTTACCTCAGGGGATCACTGTGAAGTTTCAAAAGCACAGTGCCTGGCACAGCAAGGGCATTTAATAAATGACAACTCTTGCCATTATTATTAGCAATAATGATAACAGCAATAAACAGGAAAATGACAAATCAACATATATGAAGGTCCCTTTTATCTGTGACAAACTTTGCATCCGATTTGATTTATAGCCTGTCCGCTTATGCCGGGTGGCTTCACATATTGATTATTTGAAAATCATGTGGCTTAGCCCTAGAATGGAGGCTCATTTAATAAACTCCACTTATTGGGTGATTATGCAGAAGACAGCTGCAATGACCTCTGGGACAGAGAAGCCTGATGATAACAGTAGCTACCATTTATTGAGCCCTTACTATGAGCTACCACTTAGTCTTTAACACAATCCCATGAGATCTTTTAATTCCCATTGTACAGATGAGAAAATGAGGCCAGATAGGTTAAATGCTTTAAGATAGGTTAAATGCTTTAAATAATCAGTAAGTGGCTTATTCAAGATTCAAACCCAGGTTTTCTGAACCAAAGTTAGTGATCTTTTCATTAGACTAGTTGCTGCTCAAGCTACAAATAATATGGTGTTAAAAAAAAAAAAAAAAAAAGAGGGGCTGGGTATGGCTGCTCATGCCTGTAATCTCAGCACTTTGAGAGGCCGAGGTGGGCGGATCACTTGAGGTCAGGAATTCAAGACCATCCTGGCTAACATGGTGAAACCCTGTCTCTACTAAAAATACAAAATTTAGCCAGGCATAGTGGCAGGCACCTGTAATCCCAGCCACTCAGGAGGCTGAGGCAGGGGAATCGTTTCAACCTGGGAGGCGGGGGTAGCAGTGAGCCGAGATCATGCCACTACACGCCAGCCTGGGTGACAGAGTGAGACTCCATCTCAAAAAAAAAAAAAGAGGAGGAAGGGAGGTAACAAAAGGGTACTGGGGCTTTAAAGAAAGGTCAGCAGTTTTCCAGTTTTCACATTTGATGACTCATGTAATTCCCCAGTGTGTCCTCAAAGTGTTGGAATGAAGTACGGTAACTTCTTGCTGCAGTCACTCATGCCAGGGAGTTCTGTGAAATCTGGGGAGGGGTTACCTCCAGTACCCAACGATACTGACCAAGGGACTATCAGTTGTCCCTCTACGTCCAATCTTCCTTCTTCCAAAGTAAAATGATTTTTCATGGAGCATATATTAATTGATGCCTAGAATAAACTATGTTTCCCATCCTTGCTTGCAGCAAAGTGTGGCCATGTGTCTAAGTTTTGGCTAATGAGATATAAGTAGGAAGTTTTATGTACAACTTTGGGGATGTTTCTTTAAAAGGAATGGGCATGCTCTTCTCCTTTGCTTTTCCCTTTCTGTTGGTTGGATTGCAGATGTAATGGCTGGGGCAGCCGTCTTGGCAATGAGATGAACATGGAATTTGTGGTAGAAGACACAGATAGAAGGAGCTCGAGTCTATAATGCTGTCGTAAACCATACCGGCTTTCAACTACCTCACTAGACTTTTTGTGAGAGAGAGAAAAAATTTTCTATCTAAGTTTAAGCGATTGCTAGTTTGGGTCTCTGTCACTTACAGCTGAACCTAATTCTAACAAACACAGATGCTACCCTACCATTCGTTACCCTATCCTCCCTTTCAGTAGCCCCCAATTCCTTTTTGGGGGAATTCTGTCACCAAATTAGATGCCTTTTAAAATGGACACATTGTATTGTACATATTTGTGCGGTATAATTTGATGTTTTGATACATATGTATTGTATAACGATCAAATCAGGGTATTTAGTGTGTCAATAACCTTGCCCATTTATCGTTTCTTTGTGGTGAGGACAATTACAAGCCTCTCTTCCAGCTATTTGGTAATCTACAAAATATCTTACTTTTAATTATCCTCACCCAACTGTGCAATAGAACACCAGACTCATTTCTCCTATCTAACTGTAACTTTGTACCAGTTGATCAATCTCACCCTTTCATCCCCTCTCCCACTCCCTCCCCAGTCTTTATTAACCATTGTTCTATTCTTTGCTTCTATAATAGCATCTGTGTTTTTGTTTTTTTTTTAGATTCCACATATGAGTGAGATCATATGATATTTGTTTTTTCATGTCTGGCTTATTTCACTTAACATGATGTTCTCCAGGTCCATGTTGTCAAAAAATGACAAAATTTCTTTCTTTTTCATGGTTCAATAGTATTAAATTATATTTATATGTGTGTGTGTGTGTGTGTGTGTGTGTGTGTGTGTGTATGATTTTCTTTATCCATTCATCTATTATAGGACACTTAGGTGGATTTCATATATTGGTTATTGTAATAGTGCTGCAATAAATATGGGAGTATAGGTATCTTTTCAATATGCTAATTTCATTTCCTTTGGATAGATACTCCATAGTGGGATGACTGAATAATATAGTAGTTCTGATTTTAATTTTCAGAGGAACATCCATACTGTTTTCCATGGTGGCTGTACTACTTTACATTCCCACCAACAATGTGTAGACATTCCTTTTTCTCAGCATCCTCACCAACATTTGTTTTTATTTGTCTTTTTGAAACTATCTAGTCTAACTGGAGTGAGATGATATCTCATTGCCGTTTTGATTGCCATTTCCCCAATTATTAGTGATGTTGAGCATCTGTTCATGTAACTGCTAGTCATTTCCATGTTTTCTTTGGAGAAATGTCTTGTAACGTCATTTGCCCATTTTAAAATAAGGTTTTTTGTTGTTGTTGAGTTGTTTAAGTTCCTTATATATTCTGGATATGAATGTCAGATGTATAATCTGCAAATATTTTCTCCCATTCTGTAGGTTGTTTCTTCACTCTGTTTATTGTTTCCTTTGCTGTGCAGAAGCTTTTTATTTTGATATAATCCCATCAGTCTACTTTTCCTTTTGTTGCCTGTGCTTTTGAGGTCTTATTAAAAATTATTTGCCCAGCCCAATGGCATAAAGCATTTCTCCTACGTTTTCTTCTAGTAGTTTCATAATTTTGTGATTTACATTTAGGCCTTTAATCCATTTTGAGTTCATTTTTGTATATGGAGTGAGGAAGGGGTCTAGTCTCATTATTTTACATGTGAATATCCAATTTTCCTTGCAACATTTGTTGAAGAGATGATCTTTTTCCCAGTGTGTCTTCATGGCAACTTTGTTGAAAATCAGTTGGCTATAGGTGCACGAATTTGTTTCTGAGTTCTCT